CTCATCGAACGACAGTTCAAGACAACAGTTAAACGGATTAGATCAGACAATGGATCAGAATTTCTCAGTCTACGACCATATTTCTCCGAAAAAGGCATATTACATGAGACATCTTGTGTCGGAACTCCTCAGCAAAATGGCCGTGTTGAAAGAAAACATCGGCATATTCTTAACATCGCTCGGGCGTTGCTCTTCCAAGCTAATTTACCACCTAAATTTTGGGGAGAAAGTGTATTGACAACAACTTATCTTATAAACCGAACCCCTTCCTCGGTTTTGGCTGATCGAACCCCATATGAGATTCTCCATGGTCAATCTCCAAATTACAGCCATCTCCGTGTGTTCGGAAGCCTATGTTACGCTCACAACCAAAATCGATCAGGAGATAAGTTCGCACCACGGAGTTCACGCTGCATTTTTTTGGGATATCCCCACGGCCAAAAAGGGTGGAAGCTATTTAACATCGAGACCCAACAAATGTTTGTATCTCGTGATGTTGTATTCTCCGAAACTGTTTTCCCGTATTTGGAAACGACCAAGAATCAGCATCCTTCATCGCTGCTCTCATCGCAAGAGATTCTTCCATTTCATGATGAGGACAATATTTCAGCATTGCAATTGGAAGCTCCTCTGTCATCTGAGCCTCCAGCTGCTGAAAATGACGAAAATCCCACTGAGGTAACCCCTGTTTCTTATCCATCCTCCTCTTCTCTGTCATCGTCAACAGGTCCTCCCCCAACAACACCTTCGAATGGATCTTCAGCAATCAACCTTGGTCGAGGACAAAGACAAAAATTCCAGAATGTGTTGTTGAAAGATTTTGTCACAAACTTCGTCACAGTCCAGTCAGGTCTCTTCAGAATTATATCTCCTATGCTCGGGTTTTGCCAACATACAGTGCATTCCTGACAACAATTGCTGACGAAACGGAACCACGCTCCTATGCCGACGCTGAAAAAGATATCAGATGGAAAGAGGCTATGAATGATGAACTAACAGCTCTCGAACAGAACTCGACCTGGACTTTAGAACCATTGCCACCTACGAAGACCGCAATTGGATGCAAATGGGTTTTTCGGACTAAGTACAAGTCTGATGGCACTATTGAAAGACACAAAGCAAGACTTGTGGTACTTGGTAATCGACAAACAGCAGGAGCAGATTATGAAGAAACATTTGCCCCCGTGGCAAAAATGGTAACTGTCCGAACTTTTCTCGCTGTCTCCGCAGCCTGACATTGGGATGTTCATCAGATGGACGTCCACAACGCGTTTCTTCACGGTGATTTGACAAAAGAGGTATATATGAAACCTCCTCCTGGTTACAAGGTCTCTCAACCGAACATGGTCTGTCGTCTTCAAAAATCGCTATACGGTCTTAAGCAAGCACCTCGATGTTGGTTTGCTAAGCTTACAACCACTCTCACACAGTATGGTTTTCAGCAACAGCACCCTGATCACTCCCTATTCATCTATGCTACAAGTTCTGTTCGGTTGCATATTCTGGTTTATGTCGATGACCTTTTGCTGACAGGAAATTCTGCTAAGGCCATGTCTGATTTTAAATCATATCTCAATCAATGTTTTAAAATGAAAGACTTGGGCAGCCTCAAATATTTCCTTGGTATTGAGGTGGCGCGAAATTCTGCTGGATTCTATCTCTGCCAGCGAAAATATGCACTCGACCTCATTGCTGAAACCGGACTCTTGGCTGCGAAACCAGCTTGCCTACCTCTAGAACAGAATCATCGCCTCAGCCTCAGTGACAGTGAAGAGCTATCTGATCCCGAGCCTTACCGTCGTCTTGTCGGGAAACTGCTGTACCTCCTTGCTACTCGACCTGACATAACTTATACGGTACATGTTTTATCTCAATTCATGCAGCAGCCTCGTCTTGATCACTGGACAGCTGCGTTTCGCATTGTGAGATACCTCAAGCTCAACCCCGGTCAAGGAATTTTCTTACGAGCAGACTCTGATCTACGCCTATACGGATGGTGTGATTTGGACTGGGCAGGTGATCCTTCATCTCGTAGATCTCTCTCGGGTTACATCGTGCAAATTGGAAAATCTCCTGTTTCTTGGCGTTCGAAAAGACAACCCACTGTGTCTCTTTCTTCCGCCGAAGCAGAATACAGAGCTATGGCTGTCACCACCTGCGAATTGATTTGGCTAAAATCACTCCTCCACTCACTGGGTGTTGCCCATTCTGCGCCGATGCTGCTACACTGCGACAGCCAATCCGCATTACACATCGCGGCAAATGATGTGTTCCACGACCGAACAAAACATATCGAAGTGAGCTGCCATTTTCTCCGGCACCATATCAAAACCGGCACTATCTCTACACTACATGTTTCGTCTTCCACTCAACTGGCGGATATATTTACGAAGTCTCTCGGACAACGGGAGTTTGCGAGTTTTCTTTCCAAGTTGGGCATACAAAATTTATATGCTCCAACTTGAGGGAGGGTATTGTGGAGATATGGAAGAAATATTCTTTCCTGTAAATCTGTAACTGATTTATTCTGATTTGCTCTGTTTCCTAAAATGTCTCTAGGTTAGCTAATGACGTTCTTGTATTTCATTCGATAAAAGACAGACATTCATTCTCAAAGCTCAAATCCTTCTGATATTTGTCACCAACTTCTATAAGCTAGCTTATACTAATATGTTAAACTATATATATACATCTTTATGAAATATTCGAACAGGCAATGAGATGGTGAGGGAATGCAGGAGAGAAATGTCTGAGAATCTCATGATAATGAGATGTCTCTGTACATATAACATAGAAGCTAATATGTCGCAGGACGATGAAATCTCGACTCGGGACGAAGATTTCTACACAGAGATTAATACTGCTGAATGTGATTTTTCTTCTCAAGGATTGGAAGATATTTTGGAAGATCAACAATTTGATGACGAGTACAGTTTCCCCGAGCTCACGAGTATGATGGATTCTGCCATGATGATTCTTTACTGAGTTCCCATCTCCTTGGAATGATATGTCTGGTTTTCTTCATCTCCAGTTTATGTCTTTGAGTTCCTGTCTTGGTCGCTCGCTCGCTTGCGTTCCAAGCTATCTCTTGGGTTTCTTGTTTTAGTTTTATGTTAGGGTTCGTACGTTTCGTTTTTTTAAAAGTAGTGAAGCATGTATGATCTTGGAAGATAATAATCAGTGCTCTCTATATAAGAGTGGTAGAAAAGTAATTTTTGTTTTCATTTTTGGAAATAAATAAGAAAAAGTATACATATTTTTTTTAAGGAAAAAAAACTCAATTATTTTTTTTTTGGTATAAAAAACTCAATTAATTAACTCAGACACTCAACCTCAAGAAAGAAATACCTCGATGGGGTTGGGAACCAGAGACAAACTAATTAGAATGTTCTTATAGTCTCCTAACATTGGTTTTATTTCATATTCTTATGAACTTTAATTGGTATGAGTTTTCTATTATTAGTTTCTCATTTAATCTCTGGTCTAGTAAAGTTGAAAAGTTAAATTAATTTTCCGCTTTCTCCATATTCAAGTATAACGAACCTGAAAATACACGAGTTTAATGGAATTCGTCATCGATCAATTTAGTTCCACGACAAACCTTTTTTTTTTTATAATCCGGAAGTTCACAGGACCTACTACATCTCCCAGAGGATCGGAGAAATCCAGGTGAATACTCCTCTTCACGCTTGGGTTTGAACCCAGGGTGAGAGCATGCTTTGCATGTTCTCTCACCACTAGGCCACCCAAACTTGGATCACGACAAACCTTCTTTGTGTAATATATATATATATATATATTGTTTCACCAACAAGCCCACATGCGTTGAGCCCTCGCTTTGCCATTTTAAGCTTACAAAAAAAACTTGGATCAAATTGGAAATCGTTCATTTTATTCAGTCCACAGATGAAACAGATACCAGATTCATTGCATGCACATGCAGTTCGGGTCCCCTGAGACTCCGAATTACCAATGAACGCCACTTGTCATGTCGGACATGATAGAGGCCGAGAAGATTCCTTCAGGCGACCAAACTTGCAAAAAATGCTTTGGCCATCGAGTCTTCTTCTCCGCTAAGGTTACGCCACGTGGCATCAATCCCAAAGATGTCAGAGAACACCCAAAAAAAGAAAGCTGCATGGTCGGAATGATTTCGAACTCACTCGTCTTACCAGCCAAGTACGTAGCAGTCGTATCTTGAAAACCATTTACCGAAATTCATTCAATCAACATTGGAAGAAAAGCTACAGAAATATCGTTTTCTGTTATATTGATGCATGCACCTGAGAATGTATATAAATAATAATAATATATTCGCAATCTAAATGGTATTATTTTAAACATCTCATATATAGTACTCTCTCCCTTTGTGAAAAAATATCGTTTTAGATTTTTTTACAATTATTAAAAAAATATATAAAAAAGGTCATATACTATTGGGAAATATGAAAATTTTCAGTTCCTATATTGTTTAGATATTGGTGGTACTTTCTATTTAAATTCGACTTATACTATTCAGATTTTATATTAAATTTGATTCAGTTTTATTAGGTTTGGATTTGGCTTTTTATTGATAAAATTATTGGAGAATTTTTTTATTTATTTTAGTTCGGTTTAGGTTCAACTCTCGATTTTAGAAAAATCATAACCATTTGATTTTTATAACAAATTCGATTTGATTACGGTTATGTATTATTCTATTCCAATAGGTTTGTTTAACCAATTATTAACCAAATCGGTGACTTTTCACTATTTACTGAGCAAATTTAATGTTTCCGACGGAAATAACAAATTTAAAAACAAACAATATATATATAAATCAAATTTTACCGAGGAAAAAAAAACAAAAGTAGAAAAAAAAAATAGTAGAGATGGAGGGGCATGCATACTCACAAAAGTCACATGCCTGTCGTCTCTTCTTCCCCGATGCCCAATTATATAAAGACCAATCCCCAATTCCCTCTTATAGCAAAACACCGCCCTCGTCTCTTTTATAGTTCCAACACCATGGAAATGGCAAAACATGATATCATTCACGCTTCCAAATTTTTCACTACTTGCTCTCCAATATATTCCTCTTTATATATTCGACGTTTTAGATCCTCGAGTAACTCCGCACCAAACCCATTTTCTAACTCTTATTGCCAATGGAGTTCCGACCATCTCTTCCTCGAGTTCACCCTTCTGTCCGGATCCCGATCTCTTCCTCTTCCCGTCTTAGTGGTATTGCTCTCTCTCTCTCTCTCTCTCTATATATATATATATGCATGTTTGAGGTTTGGATGACGTGTTCATCTCTAGAGCTTAATTTTTGGCCTTTTTGTTTGATGTTTTTCTTGAAAAACGTACGTTGTTCTATGGTTACGTTTGTGCTGTTTGGTTTTAAAAGTTCACACTTTCGTAGCGGAAAAAAATTTGAAATGAGATCAGATATATATCTGCTGTAAACTTTTACATGATCGTTCGTTCGTATGTACAGTTACGAGTGAAAGAGACACCATCCACGCGGCCCAAAAACCACATTCCAAAAGATGGAGCCCTTCCAAAGCGGACCTTCTCATCCTTGAGGAGGCTTTCTCGGCGAATGTCGGAAAGATCAAGACCGATACGAAAAACGAGCTGTCTGAAAAACTCAAGATACCGCCCCGTGCGGTGGCACTGTGGTTCACCAAGCGGAGAGCCGAGCACAAATCCGAAAAACTCGAGGAGAAATCTGTTGTCTCTCGAGCTCGTTACCTCAACTGCATGGCTTACTTGGACAGACTTTCCAAAAGGAACGAAACCCTAATGCAGATTCCGGTATATTACATTTTCTTTCGCTGTGGCTTACTCTTGCGGTAATTATACGGTCCAAGTTGTATAATTACAGTGCACTGAACTACCATGGTGTATTTTTCAAAACAAAACCATGTCGTGATACTTCAAATAGGTGGCTGCTACCAATGGCACGCTGATAACATTGGACGAGGACACGACAAAGGCAAATGGGTCCAAATTATTACAACTTGTGGATCCCCGAAATCTTTATTGTGTCGGACGTACCGGAGAGACGGCAAGTGAATCGTATGAAGAGGCTAATAGCTCAGCTAACTGGGGAAGCGCTGATGAGTACGATTGTTTCCGAGGGTTAGGGAACATAGTGGAAGAAGGCGACAGCTACACGACGAATTCATACCCTTTTCCGGAGCTTGAATTTTGATGGGTAGTGATATGAGTTCATGTATGACCATCCCCTCTTGGTTTTCAATTGAATGCTGCTGCTGCTGATGATGATCAACCAGATGAATCTTCACTGTTTACTCTTGGTGATGTGTGTTTTCCTCTGTCTCTGCATTATTCCCATCTGCAGAAGTGGAACCTATATGCCATAACAAACAAAACAAAAAAAAGACACCAGCTTTCTTCTCCTACCTGATAATATATATATGCATATATGGTTTCTATTATAGTTGCAAGATTTGAACACGACAAGAAACAGAGAGCTTACATGAGATGGTGTCCAAGAACACATTAGGGTCGTATCAGTAGAATGATGGAAAACCGAAATGATAATGAAGAATGTGAAATATGCACAGCTTTTGTTTTCCTACAAAGAATCATTATAAGGGTAACAACTCTCTGCTACATCCTCCTCTACCTACATTGTAAAATAAAAATCGAAACCCCCCGAAAGAAAACATCATCCTTCTGCTTCCTCACATCAAGTGATGATCAGTAGATTGTTTTCATGCCCGTCGTGGTTAACAATGGGGCGGAGCGGATCCACTCTCCACTGCCCATCTACTATAAATTTGATCTGTCACAGAAAGCAACAACATTCAGATTCGTGTTTTCCTTTCCGCATGTAAAGGGAAATTGGTATCGGATTCAGAGTCGATCGGATGATCTAACCTCGTATTTGCCCGGATATAACTTCAGCGACAAGGAAAAGACGCCATTCTTTGATTTCTCCATCTTCCTCTGGAGATGGTATAAGCCACAGTTCAGAAACAAAACCATACATGAAATTCTATTCCCAAACTGTTGACTTCCCATTTTACATGTCAACGAATTGATTCATCAGGGCAGTAAAAAAATCACAGTTTGATTCCTTTTACCCTAATTACTTCACAGATTTTGACAGCATGACTTACCTGGGTCGACCAGCCGTCAAATGATCCTGCCAGTAGAACTTCCGAAGCTGAATTAGGCCAAACTATGGGAGCATCCCGGAGTAACCGTAAAGCTCTACGGGCATGATCTATCCTTCTCTGTTTCTCTCGTATAATCCTTTGCGAATCTCTAACGAAAAAAGAAAAGATATCACGTGAGGAAAATAGCGTAAGCATGCTCGTATCTGTAAGCATGTGTTAGTGTGTATATACGCACACATATACAAACACTCAGAGGAATCCCTACTGAAATGAGAAATGCATTACGTTATAGCCATTGCCATCTTTCCTTCCAGAACTGCCAACTTCGCCCGTGTTGACCGCAAATTATCCTGGGCACTCATGATTTCGTTCTCTTGGAACTCCCAATCGTCAAAAAGGCTCTCCAAGCTGCCAGAAGAATGCATCTCTCTATCCTAAATGAAGTCATAAAGCCCAAAAAACTAAGGTAAAGGAAATATAATCCACACAACTCCTACAACTTTGATTAAGAGTTTTCCACTGAACTGAAAGTCTATATCTTTGTCACGGTGAATCAGCGAGCATTTGATTGAAAGTATCCCCATATATCCATCATTCAGAGAATTGACAAATATGAAAAACGATAAACGTACTACAGAGTGAAGAGATACATATGGGACATGATTCTCTGCAAATAAAAGGAATAAAAACATCAATTACCTTACTTGTCACAGCTTCGTCAGTATGAGTTCTAAGGGAGCGAAGAACTGAAGAAAGTTCTGCCTGTAGATGCTGAAGGCGACTCTTTATATGGGTTTGATTTATCTGTCCCGAATCAGAACTATATCTCTCTCCCCCCTTCATGAAATCACCAGAACCCACATTCTCATCAAGGACAAGCCTCTCCTGGCCACCGTCCAAACTACCAGGAGAGATTTCGGCAGCTGTAACATATATGTATATGTTTTATATCTTTATCATCAACTCATTGTATGCCGAAGAGACAGAAATTGGGCATTCATACCTTCAAAATCAGCATCTGAAACTCCAGCCCTCTTCATGCTCCATGTTCTCCATGATTCCAATATAGTCGAATTACTTAAGCCATGCATGCCTGAAAGCGACTCGCTTTCAAGAAACTTCTTTCCTTTCTCTTCACTAAGGCTTCTACTACAGTTTGACTCTGTCTCGGTAAATGCTCGAAGTTCACCGAGCTTTTTCTTTCAACAATGCAGGCAACATTCGGCAGAGTGAACCATGTATTCAAAGAAGAATATGAATGTAATAGCGAGCAGCAAAGTGCATAGAAGTTAAGCAAGATACCATTTTCATATAAGACTCAGGAAGTGGACCGTTGTGGCAGAGATCGTTCATGGCGCCATTACTTTTTCCTTTCTCTCGCAAGCTAAGCCCCAGACCCAAATTCCTTTCTTTCTCCAACCTGCTCAAGATACCTTCAATGCCACTTTCACACCCAGCATCCTCTTCTCTGAGAAAACAGAAGCCAAGTCATCAAGTCATTACATAAGAAAATGCTTCTAAATAGTGAAAAAATGGACTGAGAATTCATTGACAAAGAACTGTAAATTAGAAGCCTCACAGTGAAGACAATGAAGAAGATGAAAGACTTAAGGCAACATCCGAATTTCCAGAACTCCAGGCTCCATTTCTCTCTTGAGAACAATCGTTTCGGGGCTTTTTCTCAATACCCAAATCCTCATCCAAGACGCTACCGTTCTCTCGAACGCATAATTTCCCTTCGTTTCCTCGTCCTTCCTCCCCATCCATATCCCAACCCATTGCCAGCCAACCGCCTTGGTTTAAGATACCCTCGACAAGATCAGATCTTCCGGAACGAATCAGGTCCTTTTTGGTCGGAAACATGTCCGGTTTCTCCGAATTCTTCATGAACTCCAAAATCTCCGCTTCCAGATTCTTAGTCCCCTCGCTCTCCCAACCCGTGCTACCCTTCTCGCACCTCCTCAAAAAACCACCACACCACGAACAAGAAGAACCTTTCTTCTTCTTCTGCTTCACCTCAAGAAACCCTAGCCCCAACCCACCACTCCGTCTTGCAGCGAGAAGACTCCTCCCAAGCGCGAGATGTACGCAAGCTTTCGACGAATTTTTCGGATTAAACGAACAGAAAATAGGAAGAGACAAAAGGGTGCCACAGTCTATCAACGAATTACGAGCAGGGAAACAGGAAGCGGAACCTGGCGTGAGAGACACCATGGTTGGGGCATTTCGTCAAACAACTAGTGCCCGTAACCTGTCGATCCCCGCGACTCGCATCAACCAGAAGAAAGAAGAGAGTGAGAGGCCAAATAACGAACAAAACCTTCAGGTAAACGTGCCATCATCAATGGGTTTGCCGACAAGAAAAAAAATTATTAAGAAATTGCCAAATTGGGTAACTTCATCGCAGGAAAAAATCGACACTTTTCACCTCCAAGATAAAGGAGAATGCTTTATTCGGACGTTAATCCATTTCCACGCCGAGGTATCTTCGGTTTACTGTTTTCTTTGGGGATGGAATGTGAGAATCGTATCTCGTCTTGGGCTGTTTCTCTTTTCTAATGGCTTAGATATTTTAATGGTTGAATCAAATAAATCACTGTTTACATTCGTTTCCCACCATTAATTAATTATTTAATAATCCATACTTTTAATAAAGATAAGTTATATGGAAGCATGCCTTAAAAGGGTTCTTTAAATTCCCTAATTACACCGTTAAAACAAGCGAGTCAGGAGCTGCCATTGGGCAATGGAAAAAGGATCAATGGGTCAAATTCCATTGACCTCTACCAGACAACTATAGGACAATATGACACTGATGCATATCAGCGTCACATTGATGTTACAATAAATTTATTTTTCAGTTTGTAAGCAATGGTTTATAAATTTGTATAGGAGCTGAGGTGGACCGTGGATTGTGTTTGGATTACTAGACGTTTTCTCTTGTTCTAATCATGTAGAGAGAGAGAGGGGGTCACGTGCTGAAGATGGAGACATGATTTGGACACTTTGTCATGTTGGAGGCTTGGACGCCAAACACTCGCTGGTAGCGTTGCCCCATTAAATCTAGCCGTGGATTATCCGGATTTCGATTCTGGTTTGATTGGATTATACAGAGTTTAATTATTTCGATTTTTTAAAAAAAAAATCGATTTTTACATTCGGTTATATTAGATTACGAAAAAAATAGTCATTTTTTTAAAGGAATTTACTATCTCTCCGGTCCGATTCGGATTCAGATTCGGTTTTTTCGATTTAAAAAAAAAATGATAACCATTAGATATTTTTTCGGTTATTAGCTACATAAGCGACCTGCCTTAGTTTTAATCACTGAATCCTTATCACATAAAATGACATATAACATTCGATTACAAACTATTTACCTGCTTCGCCTATCAGTCGCCCGCAAGGGCTAGATCAGGTGGTAAGGGAGCAGGGGGTCACCCCTGAGGTGGAGGGATCGAATCCTGATGTCGTTCTTCCTTACCATTTACCTGCTTCGCATGTCAACCCGTTACTGAGCTGATTTACCTCCCACGCGTGTGTTGCAGGCTCGTGCGTGTGGACTTCCGAATGAATAAAAAAAAAACATTCGATTACAAAAAGGGTGGGTCCAAAGGAGACATTATTTGAAAGTATCAAAAGGCCCAACAAGAAATGCAATAAGCCCAATACAAATTCGGGTAGAATAAAACAGGCCCAATTCATTGAAGCTATTTATTGGATAAATAAATAAATAAATAAAGTAGAAACTTGAGATGATAATACTGATCATAGGAATTATTTTATTAATTAATAAAAAAAGGACAAATTCGGATGGAGATAATAAGGTCAAACCAAGGAACCGGACGGATAACCGGAAATCCTCCTGCATTCAGAAAGCATGTCCACGTAAATCTGGCATTTGCTGATGTCGCTCCCGTTGCCGTTCAAACACTGCAAACGTATGCATGATAAAAATCACACATACATACATACCTGCATGCATGCATGCATACACACATTTCAATTCAGAAACAAAGAGAGAGAAGGAATAGACATACATCTCGGAAGGCTCTGTAGTGCAGATCGCAAGGCCCAGAAAGAAGGAATGCTGTTTGAGACAGGAGATACAGCAGTTTGATGCTGAATGGTACGAGGACCCAACACAGCATCAGCAGCCCTATTTGCCATAGCAACTCCAGTCCCAATTGCCATCCCTATCATACATATCATCCCCCAACCAATTTTACAAGTTATATATATATATTTATAGAGAGAGAGAGAGAGAGAGAGAATAGCTCGTGCGAGGCATGTGGATACTTGATGATTCGGTTCTACGACGCCGTTTTGGTGCATCCACTCGGAAAGCAACGAACAGTGTGTCTAAGACATCTTCTCAGATTGACCACTAGGCATGTTCCTCCTAAAGTAACTTTTGGTTGTTCAGACAAGATTTGAGTAACCATCGTCACTTGCACACAAAAAAGCAAATTATTTATTTTCAACTTTGGGAGATTCTTATACATATCTACAGCATCTATTATTATTAAACATGTCTCTATATATAGTGTTTATATATGCTTCACTATTTGAATGTATATGCACGTGTATTTTTTTTATCAAGAGATAGATTTGAAAATTTATCAAAAGATATTATGAACTAGAAATAAGCTAAAATATTTTTTTAGAGATCTATATGAACAATATATTAGAATATTATTTTAATATTAGGTTTGATTTATTTAGATATTTATATTAGTTAAATAAAATATTTTGTTATTTTGTGGTAAATAAAATTGATTTTTTTTATAATTAGGATGTTCACTGTCCACTTAATCTTCTAAGTCTGGAGTCAATCTCTAATCACGCAATTAATTGCGTCTTTTTCTCTCTACTAATGAAATTAATCCCATAATGAATTTGAAGTGATTTTGTCACCTCTAAACGATATATGAACTCTACTGTGTATAGAGTAACAGGAACGAGGCATAACCCTTCAAAAAAAAAAAAGGATCGGAAACTTCTCTCGATCGTGCAAATACTGATATCGAGATCGGGAACTTCATGTCGACGATGAACATATTCTAATATCGGTTTTTTTCAGGGTCGGTCCACATCAAATAATAATCGAGAAATTGACAAAACAAAAAGTGATTCGGGAATATTCAAATTTCAGTAGCACCCTCATACCGGAGAGGTGTGTATATAATAATATAGCCATCATATATATATACGCCTCAAAGAATTTCCAAAATCCGAAGAGATAATCCATATGTAAATTAAGTGCCATGTACAATTTGATTCGATGTACGAAAATCAAAGGACGAAATGGGAACGCAACCATGTGGTGTCAAGTGGCTCGTACATTAATTAACGGTGACGCCTTTGTGAATTAGAACTCATAAATAAAAATACAAAAAAATATATATATATGAGCCAAATCTGTGTATGATTTGATTGCCACGATACGATCCAAATTTAATCCGTGGGACCATATATATATATATCTTTCGCTAGCCTAAGAATTTTCGTATTTGCTTACAAAACAATAATGCAATATAATCGTATCGGTATCAACCCTTTGAATTATTGACGCCTTCAATATATAATATAAGAAAACAACTTTTGAGAAATGAGATGACAATTTTTTTTTTAAAAAAAACAAGTTTTGGAATACGTTTGACTAAAATTACGAGAATTTATCATACAAAGTAATTATAATAGATTAGATTTTGGAAAGTTTTGTAACATGAGTAAGATACATAATAGAAACGTGTAAAAAAGATAAATACAATTTTAAAAATGTATAAAATAGATATCTAATAAGCCAATTTTCGTGTCCACACGTTCGTATATATGGATTAGTAAGCCAATTTTGATTCCCCGACGAAACTGCTAGACTATCATTTCGCATTCTAAGTAGTACCGCATTTCACAACGTTACGATTCTAATTTTGATAACTTTATTCATCGAATATTTGGCATCATCTACCGAACCCAATATGCCCATATTATTATTCGATAATGACTTATTTGACCCGATTTCCCGTTTTTTTTTTTTTTTTTTTTTTTTTTTTTGCTTATTGTCTGTTTTCTTACACATTTCGCTGTCGCGAAATCGGCACATCTCATTGCCTTCGGAGATATATATGTGTTGACAAAACGCGTTTAAGCCGATTTGTCCGTTTGCGTCACGCGCTGTTTCCGATCATCCACCGATCGAACGGCTACAAGCGATCGGATTATTGTTGATCCGACGGTTGAGAGACGCCGAGGGAGAACTCCGAAATGGGCCCACGTGGAGGCCCAACACCCCGCAAAACGACACGCATTTTCTGTCTATTTCTAGCTCATGCCACACTGTTAGGCACTCGTGCCGCTTACCTGATCTCCCCCACTAGTCTGCATCTGTCTCGAGTAAGTATTTTGAATCCAAATTGAACTCTTAATAGTATGAATGATTCATTAACATTATTAAGTTCAAAAATATATATACTTATTTATTTAGTGATATATAGAAAATGATTTTTTTTTCTTTTAATCCAAATTGAATTTTAAGAGTGTTCATAATTCCTATATCGATGTTCTTTATATATATATATATATATATATAAATATATAAATATATATATTTGCACCATTAATAAGTATTTCTTTGTTGATGAAGATCATAAGATCCTTCCATTCATATTTCATTACAAAAAGTCTAATCCAAATAACTCATGGTAATGCCATATCTCTAGCGGTCGATATAATTTAATACGGACATATCTTGGGCCCATTTTCATCAATTTCCTAAAGTAACTCCTACCACAAAAAATACCACATGCTAAAATATTTATATATTTTTTTCTACCATGATAGTTGGACAGTCCTCCGTGAAATTAATTGTACAACACTCAATCACAAAAAAAAAGATATTTTTTTAAAAATCAATACATTGTGTAGAGAGTTATAATATCTCCGAAGTTCATTACAAATAAAAAAAAAACACATCTCTTATTGTGTCAACAACCCCGCATCGATTATAAAGTAAAAAAAGAGTACGTGCTATCTATAAAGGCTATTCATAAGGTATCATTACCCATCAAACAAGACATAAAAATGCGTGAAAAAAAAAACATGGCAATATGTACCAAGTTATCATCACCTGCCTTAAAAACGGTCCATTTAATTATATTCCAAAAAATACATATACACGCATATATATATATATATACATATGTATAGAACATCAGATATGGTTCATAACACGTGAAACCGTAAAGAAAAGGAAAAAAAAAACATATGGCACGTCCACATTGGTAATTTTCTTTTTTACCACCAACTTCTCACATGGATGTTACCAAGCGGTTGTGAATAAGTCAGTATTCGACCACAAACCCAAACTCCTTCCCACTTCACCTATATATACACATACACATACACACACTGCATCACCATGCAATATGCTCAAAAGCAAAAGCTATAGAGCTTGAGAGATCTACATATACATATAGAGAGAGAAAGTGGCATAATCTCTCCAATCTCCAGCTCAATATATATACAAACTAATACACACATATATGTGTGTGTAATCTCCTCTTCATTTCATGTAGAGTAGTCAATAATATTCTGTATATACCAAAAAAAAAAAGTTTTTCCTCATCTAATTCTTCTCCGATCCGTAGAGGGAACTCATCGTTTTCACAGCCGGAAATTAATGGACGTCGTGAAGATGAACGTTCAAAAAGGTTCACCGAAATTTCATAACGAGAGGGATGAGGAGAAGAAGAAGAAGCATGGAGGCTGGAGAGCCATAACCTTTATCTTAGGTAATTTTTTCCTCCCTTTTTTAATCTATTTTATTTTTACCCTTTGTGTTCTTCGATTTCTAGCTTTGAAAGTGTTATCTAACTGAAAATTTCACCGCGTGATAATAGTGGTAGTGGCTTATAGTCATTAAATTCTGATGTGCTTAGACATAAATTCCAAATAAATTTGTGTGTACCTAAATGCACTTTATAGTTTATATCAGCAATGAATGATTTGAAAGGATCCGGTAATAAAAGGAAAGGACAAGTTTTGTAAGATAATCATCCGATAAATATTTTACTTTTTTTTTATATATATAATGGACCGTTTCATGCTGAAAGCCTTGCACAAAACAAGCAAGAAAAGCCACCGTTAAGATCTATGGATGAATTGATATAATATTATACATGTAACCGTCGGTCCAACAAATTTGACAGAAATCACCAATCCGGTTCATATGCCGAGAAACGGCAAAAAGGGTCATGATGGTTTGTCATGTCAGTTTTTGTATATTTGTTTATCAAAGATTAACAAAAAAAAAAGGGAAACTAAATATATTTTTTTTGGACAGGAAATGAAACGTTGGAGAGATTGGGAACGATAGGACTGCTATCGAACTTCATGGTGTATCTGATGAGAGTGTTCCACATGGAACAAGTCGACGCATCGAATGTCATCAACATCTGGTCGGGTCTCACTAACCTCACGCCCCTCGTCGGCGCGTTCATCTCAGACGCCTACATCGGTCGCTTCAAGACCATTGCCTTTGCCTCCTTCGCCACCCTCCTCGTACGTACCATATTTACGTATCAGTTTTTCTCTTTTATTGCATATTTTATGACACCAAACAAAGCAAGCTCCAAACGCTACGTAGAAATCTTAAACTATGATTGATATGGTTTGGTATTCGGAGAGGAGAAAAGAAAAAAGCTAGGTTTAGTATTTGATGATAAATGCATTGCTTTTTTTCTTTCCCCTTAAAGGTTGTCTGGAATCTAAAAAGATTTTCTTTTTTAATTTAGCAGATATAAAATTAGATTCACCAAATATATTTTTAAAATACATATTTTTTTCGTATAAAAGTTGATTTTACGTGGCGATGGAAGGTGGAACTTGGCACGCACTTCCATCGTGCATGTGGAGGAGAAGGATAAGGGAACGTAGATCTTTTTTGGTACACTTTAATTAATAATATAAGAAAACAATATAATTTTTTATTTTATTTTATATGGTTGGGTGACGCATTAAATTTGTAGAGGGACCTTGGGGACTAGAACGTTGAACATGATGCAAAAACATTTAATATAGTAAATAATGGCGTAGATAGCTATAACAATTATTAGAAATATTTATAATAAATTATAACTATGAGGTAAATTAATGAATAAAGTTTTCGTTTTGCTAACGAAGAAGTGAGCAGATTTGATCACATGAAAATGACCTAACAGCAACATCACAAAAAGAAAAAGAACCATTAGAACTTTTGGATCGTTTTTTAATTATTTAAACTTTTTTTTATATATATAGATAACTTACAACTTTAAATAAAATTCTTTATGGATTGGCATTCTATCACATTGGTAAGAGTTGCGTTTAAATCTCAAATTCTTCCCATTTTACACTTTTTGCCCGAAACGGTAACTTTATTTTTATTAGAGAAAATACAGTAGGTGAACCACTTACTTCAATAGAATTTACTGGTTCAGTGGAAAATCGATGCATCCCAAGTTGTAAAAAAAAAGGAACTATCCAAATTTAAAGGTCCGTTCATCTGTCATCAACCCTTATATATATTAGTTCAAGGTTAAATATATAATTAGGTTGTCGACCTAAAATTGGTACATGGAGAAATATTTCTTTGATCTCCTTTTACTTTATTTTGCAATATTAATATATAAAATAAGCCATAAAATCCATATGGAAATAATTTGAGTGAAGTGACAAATAATACGATTAATCCAACTAAACCTTGACTGTTTTCAATTGAACAATACTAATAATATCCAGCGTTAATTAATTTTGTTAGGTTATACGTCACTTTCTCTAGCTTGTATATAAGCCAACAATCAAATCTTTAATTGCATAAATTAAACTAGTTAATTGTTTTTGTCAAAATATTAAACGAGAATATTAATTATTCCATTCGTTCTTAATATTTTCCGTTATAGACAATACTTTTTTGTTATTAAATAGATATCATTTTAGAAATTTCTAGATGATTTTTAAAATAATTCTCAATTTTACCCATAATTAAAATTATCCATTTTTAAAATTTAATAAATATTAATTATGTTAATTTTTCTATATATAGAGGGAAAAAAATTAAAACTTCCATTACCAAGAAACAAAGGGATTAATTGATTCGGTAATTGTTCCAACTTACTTTCCTTTTGTCTCTTGATTTGAAAGTTCAATTTCAATTACCTATGTTATTTGTCTCTTGTGTCCTAGACCAATTATTCAAATATTTCTAGTAATATTTATGCTTATTCTATATTAAAAGTTTGGATTTTATACTTTATTGGAATTAAATTGATCGTTAGTGCAAAATGAAAAAAAAAATGAAAGAAAGATCCACCGTCATCCAATTCTATTCTAGGCTAAACTGATAATAATAGCATCGGGTACATATATTTCTTTCGTAAAAAAACAAATTAACAAAAAAAAAATGTTTCTAGAACCAATTGAGCTAATAATAATAATAATAATAATCAAATAATCTACAGGGATTGGTGACGATAACACTCACGGCCTCACTGCCGAAGCTCCACCCGCGGCCATGCAACAACCAACCACCGGCCGGAGGTTGCGTCAGCGGTCCCAACAAGTTACATCTCGGCGTTCTTCTGACTGGACTCGCCTTCCTCTCCGTCGGAAGCGGCGGAATCCGACCATGCAGCATCCCATTCGGCGTTGACCAGTTTGACCAACGAACAGAAGAAGGCTTAAAAGGCGTAGCCAGCTTCTTCAACTGGTACTACACCACCTTCACCATCGTTCTTCTCATTACACAGACAGTGGTCGTGTATATTCAGGACCAGATCAGTTGGGTCATCGGATTCAGCATTCCGACCGGTCTCATGGCTTGTGCCGTTCTCTTGTTCTTTCTTGGGATGAAGCATTACGTGTATGTTAAACCGGAGGGGAGTATATTTTCCGGCATTGCTCAGGTCATCTCGGCCGCCTTCAAGAAACGGAAGGTCAAGATTCCGGCGGACGATGCCGCGGTGGAGTTTTACGATCCGCCGGTGAAAGCCACCGTATTGTCCAAGTTACCTCACACCGACCAATTCAGGTAGCAATATATACATTTCTCCGAAGGGCTCCTCACTAATTAAAATCCGTAACCCTAACCCTAATTTGTCTGTTTATTATGAACTAGGTTTTTGGACAAAGCCGCTTTGATAACAGTAGGCGATTTGAACGTTGATGGTGTTCCGACAAATCAACGGCGATTGTGTAGTGTCCAGCAAGTTGAAGAGGTGAAGTGTCTGATCAGAATAATCCCTGTTTGGTCGGCGGGAATCATAGCTCTCGTCACGATGTCTCAACAAGGTACATTCACAGTATCACAAGCCCTAAAAATGGACCGACACATTGGTCGGAATTTCCAAGTTCCGGCAGGTTCCATGTCCGTAATCTCTCTCCTAACCATCGGAATCTGGCTTCCGTTCTACGACCGGATCTTCGTCCCGTCTATCCGGAAAATCACGGGCCATAAGTCCGGAATCACGCTCTTGCAACGAGTCGGGGTAGGGATCGTGTTCGCGATCCTGTCGATGGTGGTGGCGGGGCTGGTGGAGAGAGTCCGGAGAAACGCCGCAGTTAACGCCGGAGATCCGACCGGAATGACGGAGATGTCTGTGTTCTGGTTGGCGCCACAATTGATACTGATGGGACTTTGCGAAGCGTTCAACATCATCGGACAGATCGAGTTCTTCAACAGTCAGTTCCCGGAGCACATGAGAAGCATCGCCAACTCGCTCTTCTCGCTCTCCTTCGCCGGTTCGAGCTACCTGAGCAGCGTTATCGTGACGACCGTACATAAATTCTCCGGCGGGAACGGCCGGCCGGACTGGTTGAACAAGGATATTAACGCGGGAAAATTGGATTACTTCTACTATCTGATTGCCGGTTTGGGAGTGGTTAACCTGGTTTATTTCTGGTATTGTGCTCGGAGTTACCGGTACAAGTCCGGTTTTCAGATTGGAGATGACGACCAGAAACGATCTTTTGAGGATATAGAGATGAACCCCGTCAAACCGCTGAAATGATTTAACCAATTAGGATAATGTAGAAAAAATAATGCGGTTTATTCGAATGCGGTGTATTCGTATAAAGCTATGTACCTATTATGATATTCCGACTATATATATATATATATATATATATATATATATATATATAAGTGAAATAATATTTAGTCTTAATGCAAAACTACGGACTTCGGAGCTTTTTATATGACATTCGCAGCGTGGTTGCATTCTACCATCTTTTTATTTTGTTCAACTTTATTTACCTACTTTCTTTAAAAGTGCATAATATATATATATATATATATACACATATATAAGAGAGATCTTGAAAGTAGGGTTGTCCAAATCGATATGATATTACTCTCATGTGGGTTCGTCACAGATATTATTGGTAAATTTGATAAATAACCGAATAATTAGACCGATCCAAATCAAACAACACAAACCGATTATTTTTTGGAAAAATAGATGTTTTTATCAATAAAACTGATATAATAACAAGATGGTTATAATTTCTGTAAATTCCTAAAAAACGAATTAAAAATACAAAAACCATTTTTTTGTTGAAAAATAGAAGTTTTTATCAATAAAAACTAAATACGAACCATAATCAAACCGAAATACTGTCGAACCAAACCGGAATAGACCGAATTCAATACTGAATGACTAGTTTTTCAGGAGACATAATTAACAGATTCATCATAGTTCATGTAGAAGAGAAGAAGAAGCCAAAACGCCAAATCCCGAAGCAAATACTCTTTAAGAGGAGCCACCACCGACATCAGACGAGCCATGGCCGGCCATATGAGCTGCTGAGCCATGGTGGTTGTATTGACCACCACCACGACCACCCCTTCCCCAGTTATTGTAGTAGTTCTTTTGGTAATAGTTCCCACCAGACTGTTCATAATACTGCTGGTTCCTTCCATTCTGGTAGACACCACCTCGCGGGTTCCTCCCATTCTGGTAGACACCCCCTCGACCTCCTCCACCGGCTCGCCCACCTCGGCCATTAGAGTAGCCCCTACGGCCACCACCTCGGCCTCCTCTCTGGTTCTGGTATGACCGTCGAGGCACATACTCTTGGTCCTTGTGCTCAAACTCTCTCTTACCATGGTCTTGTTCTGTCTGATAGTGAACTTGTTGTTCCTGCTGTTCAGGGACGACAACCTCAACTGGAACCTGAGCTACTTCCATCTCTGTCTCATCCTACAAACCGAAAATCCCTTTATTTTCACTCTCGAGGGATGGGGGAATTACAAGATTATGCAGATTTTTGCAGTCCAATTATATTATATTACCTTCTGGTGTTCGTCTTGAGGCGATTGATGATCATCCACATCTCCACCTTCTTCTTCGAATTTTGATGGATCTTCTCCCTGAAAGCAGAGGGGTTGAACACCATTATGAGCACATGCATGCATGCATGGAATGGAAAGCCATGTAAGCAAACTGGTAGGACAATCTTTGGAAACATTTGAAGATCCTTTACAAGCTTTGGAGAGACCCAATATCAAGCATTGTAGACTTAACTCACACTAAGTATGATCAAATACATGGACAAAGCAGAAAGCAGTCTACTACAGAGCTCATCCCATCGGGATGCAGCTTCGAGAAGCAAGAGGACATTTCGGGTACCAGTCTCTCTCTATATAAATTGACAACTTTCTCTTCAGTGACAGTCACCAAACATAGTTGTCCCCACCTTTACTTCGGGCATAAGACTTTGCACAGTACCCAAAAAAAACAACCTTTTAATGGATAAAACATATTTGGGAATCAACCCTTCAAGGCCTACCTAGTCCAAGATTACAAACTATGGCTGGAAGTGTAATATTCTTTGTCAAGATCTATTCTGGTGGCTTCTATTTTGTGGGTCTGGACTTAACCACTTGCCCACATGCTTTACATCAGATAAGTGTGATTCTTTACGGCAAGCAATGCAAAACCCACCACTTTTAACAGAGAACATAACAATCTGATGTTGTCGGAAATTTGCATCAGGATCAGGTAGAAGGTTCACTCATTCAACCTCAGGAACAGGTTTCAGAGCAATAGATAAAAAACTAGTCAGTCACTAGGATAATTGTATATAAGGCAGGGACCAAAGCCTAGAGTCGTGTTTTAGAGACATTATCCCACTGTAAACAAACCATGTCAGGGCGTTCATAATGTCGGACAACAAGCTCTCAGTGTTAGACGGCATCCCGATTATACCAAGAACACAAGAATATCACAAAGAGCTCGCATTCACTGAGAAGAAACACAGCACAACCCAGAGACATTACTGGTTGTCCTAAATTAACATACTTTATGACTGAAATCTAAAACAGTAACATACATTATACATATGAATGATGCAGAAACTACCGGTGATAAAAATCATACCTTTTGCTGGAAATGGGCAGCTGAGCCTTCCACTTGGATAGTGGCCTCAACGGGTACACCAGTCGCCTGGAAAGAAACGTAGTTCCCTTACACCAGTCGCCTGGAAAGAAACGTAGTGCCCTGCTGCGGCGGCCACCTCAACCGGCGCTTTCATCTCCGGAACTGTCGACAAGTAATCAAAAGCCATTATCTTCCTCAGCTTCTCCCTCAATCCAGCATCTGAAATTCCAGATCTATCAGAAATTCAACCAAAGACATGAACTAAACCACAAGCACAATTCAAAGGAGATTCGAATTTACATGAGACATTGGCGTTCTGTTCAATCGGTTGATCCGAGTTAACGAGCCATAGCTTGGCATGCTCGATGCAACGCTCCAATGCGTTCTTGTGGGATAAGCTCGAATCCACCGGCCGAGAAATCATCAGACTGCCAAGCCTCGAAATCAAATCCAAATCCCGTTCGCCGAGCAGATCCGTCGCGTCATCGGTAACGTAATCGTAAGTCAAGCAGCAACCTCGCTCGTGCGTCCTGGTCAACATTGTCGAAGCAAACTCGCTCTGGGACTTCACGTCGAAGAGCGAACCGAAGTACAGGAGATTCATCAGATCATCCACCGCAGCGCCACCGTGGCCGCCGCTCTCCTGCGGAACCGCAGAATCGTCACTTTGGCGTTCCTTGTTGTCGAGAGCGTTGGTTTGATCGGACGAAACCTGGTGACACTGGATGGCGAGGCTGATTTCCTCCGACACAGCGGCGGAGAGAGGAGCGCGAAGCTTCTCGAGCTCATCGATAGTGGCGACGAGACCGGGCTTGGAGCGTAGGACTTCTTCTTGCTCCTTGTTAATGGTTTTCCCCTGAGCAATCGACTCTTCCATCTGAAGAATCCTGTTGTATTTCTTGCGTAGGGCACGGAGACGCTTGTTGATGAGGCTCAGAACAGGTCCGTCGGTGGCGTCGGAGGAAGCTATCGCCGCCATGGTGGAGATGGTCAAGGGTTTCACAGGAAGGGAAGAAATCAACGGTCGCCGGAAAAGATCACCCCCGGGCACCGGCGGCGGCAGAGGCGGAGGGGTTAGGGGTTTTAGAGCGATGGATAAGTATGAGGCGCTTCGATTCGAGATGCAACAATAAAAAGAGGTTTGAGAGATTGGGGAAGTCCAAACAGCAGCCTCCCCCACTTTCTTTTTTGCTTTTTTTTTTTTTCAAATAATAATTTATTTTGCCTTGCCTCAGATTTTTCTTAGGATCCACCTACAAAATGGGCTTTGAACCTTGAAATAAGCCTAATGAATTTTTTTAAATGGGCCTATAATTGGGCCTACGTAATTCCGACCAATATATGTTAAAATGGTGTAGCTTTACACCTTATATGGGCTTTATAATAAAATACTAAAGCCCATTATGTGAGCCCAACAATATGAAGGTCCTTTTTCATGGGCCTATCCATTTTTCTCAGATCCATTCAGATTTTATGTATAATTTTAGCTAAAGATTCAAGCCCATTTGGTTTTAGAATCTGATATATCGTATACTGAAGTGTGTACACATATAGATACATATATATATATATATATGTGTAATCATATGGAAGATCGTGACTTGGCAGTTGGATTGTCATTGTGATGGCCTTTTTGTCAAATCCCAACATCATCATTGTACACTTGGTGACTTGCTCATCTTCCTTTTTGTCAACTGGCATTGGCAACATTATGTAACTTATATTATCTAGTTATTTTTATTTTTAGAATTCGACCATTCCAAAATTGTTGAACATATTATTACTAGCAATGACACATAGTTATAGATGTGGTTTATAATATCTATAACCTGGAAAACAATATTGGCAAAAAAAAAAATGCAGATGCTTAAGCAATCGGATTTATATAAAAACATTCAGATGATTATATGAAACAATTTTATCAAAGACTTTTCTTTTTTTGAAGGATTGATTTAGAAGGCTTCTTTCTTTCTATATTGCATTTTTTCCAAACGTTTTCCACGTGAATCATTTCTCTATTGATTTGTTTCAACGAAAGTTAGAAATCAAAGGCTCTAGGCTTGTGAAACCCCCTCGAAAGCCTAGAGTGAGGTATCTAAGGCTTTAGTTCAAAAATCTATACATAACCAATGGAATTATGTGTATGTATGTATATTCAAATATCTGGGTGACTCAATTGGTTAAAAATGATAAAAAAAAATATATTTCTAATCCATATCTGCGTTTCTATTTGAGAATGATCATTTATTTGTATTATAATCTTTGGAGATATATAATTGGATCCGGTGAATTTTTGGATTATCAATATATATATATATATATTCGGAATGGGAGATAAATTAGGGTTTGATTATTGGAACATTTGTACAATTATAACTACACAATCTGAATTTAACCAAATGTTTTTTTATTCTTTTTTTTTTTGTAAAAATGTTTTAATCTTCTAATCTGTCTTTCTATAATTTTCAATTATAGTGCAATGATCAATTTTCAGTTGCCAATTGACGAGATAAGACCGACAAAAACACTCAAAACAGGATAAAGAGATAAAGAAATGAGATTAGAACACTCCCAATCGATTAGGGTTAATAACTCGTGCATGTTTTCAAATACAGTGAATAGCTAACTATTGATACAGTAATGGAAGGAATATATAATTAGGGATTAAACAAAAAAAAAAAAATATATATATATATATATATATATATATACACATTCCAACCCTTTCTCTCTAATACGGACAGAGCTTTTGGACAGACCGTTACTATCTACAACGGTAGACGTTAACGCTACACCTAATATCATACATATACAGACACGTCACAAACAACACAACCGCATCACCATCACCATCACCATCACCATCACCATCATCATCATCATCATCATCCCCTAGGATTGCTGTTTCCGGATCCTCCTCGAGTCACCATTGACACCCAATTCGGAGCGGTGGTGGGCGTCGTTGCCTTGTCTTCGGTGTTCTTCGGAATGGCCATCAGCTCCATTAAAATGAAAACGGTTGATGAAGGAGGGAGTTTACCGGCCACATTTTTTTCTCCCATAATTTTTTTTTATTCTTTAAAAAAAAGATCTCTTTTTTAATTTTGGGTTTTTTTTTCAGCGGTGATTTTTGTGGATATGTGGGGGGGGGGGGGA